TATAAACCCAGTAGAACTTCATACAAACCCAGTAGAACTTCATATAACTTAATATAAATCCAGTAGAACTTCATACAAACCCAGTAGAACCTGATTAAACCCAGTAGAAGTCAATACAAACCCAGTATGACTGTATACAAACCAAGTAGAAACTAATTAAACCCAGTAGAAGTTAATGTAAACCGTGTAGAATTTCATACAAACCCAGAAGTCCATATAAACCCAGTAAAACGTAATATAAACCCAGTAGAACTTGATACAAACAAAGTATGACTTAATACAAAACCAGTAGAAACTTAATTAACCCAGTATAACTTGATACAAATCCAGTAGAACTTAATATAAACCCAGTAGAACTTAATATAAACCCAATAAAACTCCATATAAACCCAGTAGAACTTAATATAAAGATCTAACTCCTTAATCAATCAGACCAAACTCAGTTCTACTAAAGATAAAGAGGCTTCAACACTCTGACCTAAAAGCTTCCGAACATGGAAAGAAACTTCAAAATATATACTAAAAAATAGCAGATATCTTGGTTTTAATTCTGAATATTGAATTGGAACCAGAAAGCACTTCCAGTGTGTATATTGACGCAAATTACAGCTTTTTTATTCACCCATCCTCCTATTTTTTGCTTTTTTAGGGGCAGAGGTGAGTCAGAAAAGCCACAGGAGTGGGAGTTTCTTACGTTGCAGCAGGCGATGGCCAGGTCCAGGAAGTCGGGGGGGCAGTCCCCCACCATCTGCTGGAAGGCCTCCACGTCCAGGCCAAAGTCCTGCATCACAGACGAGTCAGAGTCAACCACGGTTAGGGTAGTCACGATACTAAAATGTTCAACTCGATACCGATACTCAGGAAAATACTCAATACCATTTTCGATACCACAAGGATAAAAAAAAAGACCCCAAAATTTAACGGAATTTTGACCGGTTAGTGTCTTTCATTTCAAACTGACCTGTTACTGATGTTATGGTGGCCCACATTAATGACCCTAACCCTAAAACTAACCCTGACCCTGATCCTAACCCTATCCGTAATCCTGACCCTAGCCCTAACCCTAATCCTGACCCTAGCCCTAACCCTGACACTGACCCTGACCCTAAACCTAAACCTAACCCTCCAGCCTTCATAATTGTGAGAAATAAATATTTTTTGGTTAAACTTGTTTGGACTTATCGTACAAACCTATTTAACATTACACTATTTTAACATAATAATATGTATAGAGTTAAATTAAGTGTTTGAAAGATTAATTTTTAAATGAATTTCTATATTGCCATGAGGCAATTAGGATTTTCTTGCCTGGAATCTTCCTATTGTTAATGTAACTATAATGGCCGACTTCGATGTGGGCGGAGTCGGATATGTACTTGATTAATGGTAGCATGTTAGTATTAGCCATTAGCCGCAACTAGCAGTTCAAGGCTAACAACTTGTTAATGACCATAAACAACATAAAAAAATACATAAATAAATCAGAGAGAAGGGGGGGCGGTGGTATCGATACTTTTGAAAATGAGTATCGTATCCGGATACAACATTTTAGTATCGATACTTTTTTGATTATCGATACTTTTGACAACCCAATCCACGGTCACCACATAAATGCCTAAATTCTCATCTGAAGGAGGGATTTCTGCAGCCACAAGGGGGAGATATAACCTCAAAATGGCCTCCGTCTGCCTCTTAATCCAAATATCCGCCACTTTCCAATGTTAGCATTGTCCCAAAAGGAACACTTATGTTAAAACACTTACTGGAAATGACGAACGCAACACACGTGAACGCCATTTTCCAGCCCGCCAGAAATTTACGCCGGCATTTGTTTAAAAACTTTTTTCTGCACGTTCATTTACGGCTCAGTTCACCAAGTACATCCCGCTGCATCCTGCGGGAAGGCGGGGCTTGACGTCAAGCCCCGCCCACATCAGGGACACAACAAAAAAAAAAAAATTGATACTAAATTGACAACACACCACCGCAACCAATGTATAAATATATATATTTTTAATGATAAAACACTCATGACCGGAACTGTTTTACGTACTAAATTGACAACACACCACCGCAACCAATGTATAAATATATATTTTTTTAACGATAAAAAAACTATTTTTTTCGATGCTAAATTGTACTTCCGCCTCATGACCGGAACTATTTCACAGTTATGGTTGAACCTATTTATTTTTTAACGATAAAAAAAAACTTTTTTTTCGATACCAAATTTACAACACCAACGCATTAACGTAACGTATTTTTACGATGTAAGGAGAAAGAATTCGGTCGGAGGTAGCCTTGACGTATTTTTACGTGTAAAGAGTAGGAATTCAGGCGCGAATTCCCCCCCTGTTACGTCAGCATTTCCAATATGTCTGTCCCCGACGTGAGCGGGGCTTGATGCAGGATGCAGCGGGATGCTTCTCCAGTTCACAGCGAGTGGAAACACAGGATCCTCCTGCTGTTAGCTTAACATGAGCTATGCTAAATGTTTACAAATTCAGCAGTAATTCCTCACGTTAAGTACACATACCCTAACCAGCAGGTTCACATAGGTATTTGCATTTATATAATTGTTATTTCAAATTTTGGAAAAACTCGCCGTCGTCCCTGGTCCCTCCCTTTCAGCTTTGTAGTCGAGATGGCGTCCGTTTAGTGCGAGTAGTGTCCATCACTCCAAACTGGATTTTTGACCGTTTTTAGGGGGTCATCCGGCTAAACTTTTGTGTTATCTAAACCAGTGTTTTTCAACCACTGTGACACGGCACACTAGTGTGCCGTAGAAAATCATCCTATTTCACCTAATTGGTCTAAAAAGATTTTTGATAAGGAATTCATTTTCTGCAAGTAATATTCAATTTTTGAGTGTCTGTGCTGTTCTAGTGACTGGTGGCGTAATCATATAATAATTCCTTATGACTAGATTTTGTATATAATTTTGTATATTGAAGTGGACATGTTAAGAGCAATTTGAAAGAAGAAATATAAAATATGATAAAAATACATTTTTGTGTTTATTTGATTCCTATTCAAGACACTTAAGATAAGAATAAAATAATAACTATAGTGTTACTATAGGCAGCTACAGATTTGTTTGACATTTTTGGTTGGTGGTGTGCCTTGAGATTTTTGCAATGAAAAACTGTACCTTGGCTCAAAAAAGGTTGAAAAACACTGATCTAAACTATATAAACTAAGTGTTTGAAGTGTGTGAGTAGGTGGATTGAGACACAGACAGGGTCTTTCAGGCTTCTCTCAGACTGATCCGGTAAAATAAAGAGCCCCCCCCCCCGGTGGGAGGCGTTCAGGTACCTCGGTGCGCGGCAGGATGTCGGGGTCCGCCTGAATCCGGGCGATGACCTCACACAAGATGATGCCGTACGCAAACACGTCCACCTGGAGAGACCAGGACCAGGGAGAATAACGGCTCAGTCAGCAGATTTCAGAGTCTGGTTTCACTAATAGTGTCCTTTGACTTGAGAGGGAAAATTCAGATGATTGCTTTTAATCTCTATTTGAATTTCATTGAAAAAACACTACAATATTAATGTAAGAAAACAGGTAAAATGACTAAATTAGTCCGTTTTCACTCACTATAATC